AAAAAAAAAAACAGATAAAGAATGCAACCATGTACAATCATAACAATGAATGAACAAAATCAAACATATTCAGTGAGCTCAGCGGTCGGCGTTCAGATTAAGCCAGCTCATATCCGTATTGACGTTAGTCTGATTTCGGATCGGTGGCCCGTTCTCATCGAGTGTATCTGGGATGATAACACTCGACTGCCGTGCTTGTGATGACCGGACTCCGTCGTAGGGCGCTGACGGTGCTGCCATTGACGACACGTTGTTCGTGCTGGGGTAGTAGCTCTGGCTGTACATGCTGCTGACCGGACGGCCGAAGTAATCGTCGTGTCCTGCGTCGACCCATCGTGTACCCTCAGCAGGGAGACCAGAGGAATACCGGCTGCGGTCGTAGTCGCTGTTGTCGTCTGATGCCAGACTTATCGAATCTGCGCTGGAGATGCGGGCTGACTGGCCCTCTGGGATCACGAGGTGACCGTCTGTCGCGGATGAAGGGTGTTCGGTCGTCGGGCTGCCAGTCACCACGCGTCCCAGTGGTTTAGGCTCTTCGAGGAATCCAAAGTTGAGCGGGGTGAGTGTCGTCATGGGCCATGCGCTGCCTCGTCGTTCGGATTTGGCTAAGTCTGCGCTTGCTGTCGGTTCGTCTTGTTGTTGCATGCCAACCAGGTCTGTAGCATTGTTGTCCTGGAAGTACTTACTCCAGCCTTCGTCAGTCCTCCGGTCTCCGGGACGGCCTCCAGCTCCGGCCTCACCGGCCTCCAAAGCCTTGTCCGCATCCGGTGTGTATGGTCCGCTGAGGAGCTCCCGGCTGGACTGTACAGTCGACAGAGGGCTCTTAGTCGGCGCCTTTCCACCGTAGACAGGGTGCGCGGCCGGTGCTGCCTGAGACTTCTTCTCGTCGTTAAGCTTGCCTGAGAAGATCGCCAACGAATCGACCGACGACGATCCCAACGGTGCTTGGCTCTTGGCCATGGGGTACGCGGATCGCGTCAGAGGCTCGCCTTGGTCTTGGATGCTAAATCGATCCTTGTCATCGGAACCTCCGCGATCTTGGCCGGTCATCTTTTGCTTATCCTTCTTGTGTTTTAGCAAGAACAGGATGGCAAGCAAGATCACGGCAAAACCGATGACACTTCCCAGGGTTGCGCCGACAATGGTGCCGACCTTACCACTATTAGATCCATCACCACCGGCAACAGCGGAGGGAGTGCTGGAGGCGGAGTTGGAACTGGTGGGAGTCGCAGTGGTCGATGAGGAGGGAGAGGAAAGAATTTGCTGCATAGATTTGTCGCCGTAGAAGAGTTTGGTGGCATTCATCCAACTATTCGAGGTTTGGTTGAAGAGAGCCAACGAGTTGGTACCACTGCCGCCGGAAATGGCCACCAGCTTACCATCATCGTCCTGCGCCAGCGAAAACTGCGACCAGGTTTTTGAAGATGCATATTGATCGTCGTATTTCGGGTAGTTGTCCACGCTGATGGCCCTCCGCCTGGAACGTTTTCTGGAAGATGCGCCAAGCACCTTGGCTGGGTCTGCAGGCTTGCCACCAGGGTTCACCAACAGCAAGCTCTTGACCGTATTGGGCGATTCACTCATGTCGAACGACTGGAGCACCTTGCTGCTATCGGACCCATTGATCAGAGCGGTTTTGACGTCATCCGACAGCGCCTGGGGCAAATTTATGCCTGAATCTGACCAGTCACCGGTGCCATTGAACTTAAACAAGTGAACCTTTCGGGCCGTTGTCGTACCACCAACCAAAGCGGCTTGATCATCGCTCCAGGGTAGCAAGATAGGGGCACTAGCGGGTGATGCGTCGGCACCACTGTATGAAGAGACATTATATGGTTCGGCGGTGTTGATAACAAAGGTATCGGAGGTTGGAGTAGAGCTACCGTCGCGGTTACCAGCGTAGACAAAGATGGACGAGGAGGATTCGAGGAAGACGGCGCCGTGGTTGGTGCGGTTGGACATGTCTTTGGACGTTGGCGTGATGGTTTTCCATTTCTCGTCTTGGAACGAGTATCGTTGCAATCCTGTGTAATCGGACGAGGATGAGCTGGTTCCACCGACAACGTACAGGGACTGTTTGTTTTTCACGCATGCTGCACCGGAGACGGGCTCTCCCATGGTGAGATTGCTCCAGGTCGCATTCTCACTGAGAGCGATGGAAGCAAAGCCATTGGCGGAGTAGGTATAAAGAGTGTTGTCGTGAATAAGGGAGCAATGGTCCTCCAATGTCACGGGAGGTTTGGGAACAACCATTTTTCGAAGGTTTAGCGAATGTTTCTTTTCTTCGAGGATACCAGCCGAAGGAGGGGGGTAGCCAGCCGTCGAGTCAATGGCACGAGCGGAAGAACGAAAGACGTGGGGGGGAGGAACGAGGGTGATATCAAAAGAGAATGGAGGATGGCTGCCAGAGCACTATCTCATGGTCACAGTGAAGGAGGGCGGAAAGAAGGATAGAGAGATCGGGGCCCTGATTACTCTTCGCTATGGAAATGTCCGTGTCGCAATCCTTGATATGACCAAAGTAAGAATATCTTCGCGCGTCGATTGCCTCTTGCCAAGCGGTCGTCGTGAATTTTATTTTTATTTTTCTGTAAACGAGCAGAAAATCCGTCCAACGTCTGAACTGCAAGAAAGAATGGTACAGCGAACAGGGGGAATCGATCAGGACGGATCGGGAATTGAACGAACGAAAGGCGATATACTCGTCGAAAGCGAAGCTCAGGGGGTCGAGGACAATGGGCAAACGCACGGTTTCAAACCGGCAGAGGAAGACAAAGAGTCAACAACGAACGAAAGCGCAATCGACGAGGAGGGAAAGAATGACGGCGCGACAAGAGGAAAAGGCCGAGAGAAGAGACGAAGAAGTCTGGAAGGATGTCAGCAGGACGACGGTGGTAATAATATTCGGTGGTGGAGGACGGGGGATGAAACGACGGAGGGCAGCTCAGGCCAGGTCAGGGGGAGCGATCTTACCGAGTGCCAGCACGGGTAAAGAGGAGAGAAAAGAGAGGATAAAAAAGGTGAAAAAGGATAGAAAGAGGGAAAGATGACAAGGAAGAGAGACTGGATAGAGGAAGAAAAGAGAAAAAGAAAAGAGAGAGAGTAGTGAAGGGGAGGAGGTGAAGTGAAGTTGAGGGGAAGGGAGACAGACACACCATAACTAGGACCACCACTACGGCTATTCAGTACTAGCACTATGATACAATTCCTCTCGACTGGTATCCCTTTGTTTAATTTCTTAATTCTATAGCCAGAGTATCCGTACAATTAGAGTATCCATATACACAAGTAATAGAGTCGAGCCTGTATTGCTAGCTGTTGTATACGAATCTATCGCAGACGGGCACTCCGACATTCACCACAATCCCAGCATAATACTCGTACAATTTCAAAACTCTGTACCGGTGTATTCCCTGCTATATACCCTATTATATACCTACAACCACACAATTTAACAGCATCAGACAAACAACGCAAGGTTATCCATACAGTGCAGAGTTTGATTCAGGGGTATCCTCGTTTTCCAGTTGACGGAGGTCCTCTAGTAGTTATATGAGGTATTATGCTGATAACTATCAAAAGAGTCTGATTCATGCATCAGGGTCTTCGACATGCGCACATCGAGTCATTCATTTCGCAATTGAAGAGGTTCATCCCAATATCGGAGTGTACCTGACTAACACTCCCCCTGATGAAGTCACAAACCTCGTTGACCCGGCCGATCACCTGATCTTCATCAAACAAAGAAATTTCTCGATACAAATCAAAATTGCTCAATCCCACTTAAAAAGTAAAAATATATAAAATATAATAGAAACAGAAGAGGAACAAGGCAGCATGTTAAATCACACCCCGATTGGTCAATGTCTTATTGCACATGCAGGTACCTCTGTCCAGGTACCTCGAGGTATCATATAGTGTATATTACAGCTAATACGGTATCGTATTACAGGTGGAGATGATAATGAAGGAATCCCACTTCCCCACTTCGGTGTCAATCTGATTGGCTGCGTTTTTCACGAGCGTTGGACCCATTTTATTTGCATAATTACTCATCCAAATATATTGTGCATTGAACTGAGTCCTTGTAAACGTATTATTGCCGTGATATTCAACCAAATATACATAAACCAACAGACTACGCGTGACCCTGCTTCCATTGGTGCGCCTTGGCCAACAGCTTCGACAAATTCGCCGCCGACTGGTCGTCTGCCGGGAACACATAGTCCATGTACTCCTCGTACCGGTCGTCGTCCAGCTTTCTTCGCTTCTTGACCCGCCGCGGCATCTGCTTTTCGATCTTGTCGATGTCCTCGCCAGACCCGTGCGTGTGCTCGAAAGATCGCCATGCGTTGAGAAGTTCCACGCGCTGCCATCGTTAGTATCGTTATTGCGGATTGATATGGGCAAGGGAAAGGGGAGCTTACCTCTTCTTTGAGTTCCTTTTCTTTGAAGACGCGGTGGGCTCGTTCGAAGACCTTCCGCGCGCGACGCTTGGCTTCGTCGCTGATGGGTCGCTCTTCCTCCTCCTCCTCCTCCTCTTCCTCCTCCGGGACGTTGATCTCGAACCGTGCGTAGTTGATCCACACCTTGACATGGTCTGTCTTGGCCAGCAGACGCTCGTACAGCGCTCGCACGCGGTCGTATTCTCCTTCATACTCCTCAAAGTCGATGTATGACTTCCACACCAATTCCGGCATGTCCAGTGTCGGCTGGTCAATCCCCAGCTCGTAGATCGCCCGTGCACGCTCCGCGTCATCCAGTCCCCGTTCCAGCTCGGCATATTTAATCCACGACTGGCTGTTCGACGAGTTCCATTCAATCTGCTTCTCGTACAGTGTCCGGCACCGCAGGAATTCAAACAGCTGCTGCTCCAGTATGATGTAGCCCCGGAAGAGCTTGTCCTTCGGGCACATGCCAATCGCCTGGCCCAGGGTCTTCCGCGCAGCTTGCAGGTTCAATTGTCGGATCTCGAATTGCGCCTTCATGAGCCAGAGCTTGGAAAATGTGAACTTCTTATGTGGGATGAGTCTTAGGCATTCTTGGTAGATTTGGCGCGCACGCTCAACGTCCTTGCCTTCCATCTCCTCCCAGATCGCGTAGAAGATCCACAGGTAGATGTACCGTCTCCAGTGTCGCTTTTCCTGTGATGGGGGAATCTGAGCAATCGCTCGTTCGTAGGTGTCACGCACCCGCTCGGGGTCGCCAGAGGTCTCTTCGAGTCGTGCAAAGTCAAACCAGGCATCGTAGTTCCGAGGGTTCTCCTTGAGCTGCTCTTCGTATTGCACCCGACGCTTGGACAGAATCACATCTTCCACGCCTTCGCGGTCACCGAACTGCTTTTCAAACGTCGTGTATGCTTTGTGCAGGGTCATCGACTTGGAGCGCGGAAGCCGGTCCAGCGCATACTTGTAGATCGCCCGCGCACGTTCATATTCTTTGAGCTTCGCCTCGAACTTGGCGTACTGAATAAAGAGCTTCTCGTCCATGAAATCCTCTCCCAGCATCTCAACCGCAGCTCCGTACACCTCCCGCACCAGATCACTGGTGCCATTCTCTTCCTCGAAACGAGCCCATTTGATCCAGTTTCGCGGCTCTGGATGGACAATAGTGAACCGTTGGAAGATCGCCCGCGCCCTTTCAAACTCATTATACCGCTTCTCGAGCTTGATATACGCACCCCAAGCGCCCTCATCCGGCTCCCACGACACCCACCGCTCAAACACCTGCCGCGTACCGGGAATATTCCCCAACGTCTCCTCCATATACACATACTTGTACCAAAGCTTATCCACCCGCGGGAGAATCGTCACCGCTCGATCAAACAAGTTCCGCGCATGGTTGATATTTCGATTCCGCATCTCCGACTCAACATACCGAATCCACAACACCACCGAGGTCGGTGTGACGTCCAGCGCGCGCTCGAAGATCGACCGAGCCCGTCGGAATTCCTTCTGCTCAAGTTCCCATGCAGCATAGCGTAGCCAGTTGTTCAGGTTCAGTCGATTGCGCCGTACGTAGTCTTCGAAGTCTTTTCGTTTCCGGCCTTGGTACTCATGGAGTTCTTCGAGGTCGGCGAAGCGTTGTGTGGGTGCTTGGACGCCGGGCTCTTGTCGGTCGACGGCCTCCCGGAGCAGCTGCTCCGCTGAGATCTGGACTGGCGCCGCGGCCTTGTTCTTGACCCTGGGAGGGCCTCGTGATGCTTCCATTGTAGCTGGACAGATCCGTCACGTCGATTTGTCCGATGGGGTGATGGGGAGGTAAGCAGGATAAAGATGAAAAAAAGTGGGATGCCGGTCCCTTTGCAATAAGGCCCCTAATCGCCTTTTCACGCCAACTCAATCGTAATATTTTCGTAGGTCGAGACGATGAATCTGCGCCAACAAAAGGGTCGGCAAAGCTGCACTTTTGGTCTTCCACACCGCCCGGGATGACTAAGCGGAGCTAAGCTTCTCCAACTTACTTCGACAGTGGCGGAAAACTTCCAAACCACTGCTTTAATCGACCTGTTTAGTCGCTGACCAGTGAACCGCCAACATGTCGACCGTCGAGGAGCTCATGAGAGATTTTGAGGAGGAGGATGAGGACGTCGCGCAAGAGGGTTTACAAGAAGGCCTCCAAGATGGAGGAGCAGAGGCTGAAGAACCCGACGACGAAGAGATGCAACAAGCGCCGGCCCCCGAAACCACCAACGAATTCGACAGAGCCGTATCTACCGGCGAAGAACTCATACGTCTACACAAGGTTCTGCGCGATCACTACTCGATTCGATTCCCGGAGCTGGAAACTCTCGTAGCGAACCCGATTGACTACGCGAAGACGGCTGCAATTATCAAGAATGGTCCGCTCAATGATATCAAGACGCTGGCAGAATCGTCGGATAATTTGGTCGGCACAACACTTTACTCGGTCTTGGATAAACCGTCCGTGATTGCGGTTACTGTTGAAGGAACGACCTCTGGCGGCCGTGAAATGACTGAGTCCGAGTTGAAGATTGTGCTTGATACGTGTGACAAGATTATCAAGTTGGATCGGGAGCGAACGGCGCTCACGCAGAGCATTCAGTCCCGGATGAGCCAGATTGCGCCTAATTTGGCTGTCTTGATTTCACCCGAAACTGCTGCTCAGTTCCTTAACCAGACGGGTGGACTACGCGAGCTTGCGAAGATTCCGGCGTGTAACTTGGCTGCTCAGGGATCGAAGAGGAATGAGGGGTTGGGATTTGCTACGAATACGAGTATACGTTCGCAGGGCTTCTTGTACCATTCGCCTCTTATTCAAGAGATTCCGAACGATCTGAAGCGACAGGCAATCCGTATTGTTTCCGCCAAGATGGTTCTTGCTACCAGAGCAGATGTCTCTGGCTTTAGCCCCGATGGTTCGCTGGGCGAGGATTTAAAGCAGCAATGCTTCCAACGGTTGGAGAAGCTTACCGAACCACCACCGAACGCTAGCACGAAGGCCCTTCCCGCGCCCGATGATAAGCCGTCGCGAAAGCGAGGTGGAAGAAGAGCTCGAAAGGCCAAGGAGGCTGTTGCCATGACCGAGATCCGCAAAGCCCAAAACCGCGTTGCATTTGGTAAAGAAGAAGCAGAAGTCGGCTACGGAGCGGGTGAAGGAACCGTCGGTCTGGGAATGCTTGGTCAACAAGATGGAGGTCGTATCCGAGCCACCCAGATTGACCAGCGAACCAGGGCTAAACTCAGTAAATCCAACAAGGGCTGGGGTACTGCGACACCCGCCAGCAGCGGTGTCGCTTCGTCGCTGCGCGGTTTCGGGCAGGGTGGTGCTGGCGGTACCGCCAGTGTTCTACAAGCAAAGGGACTCCGCGCGTCAGGCGTTGGCACTTCGTTGGGAGGATCAGGTACAGCGAGTACCATTGCCTTTACACCGGTGCAGGGTCTGGAGCTCGTCGATCCCAAGGTGCAGAACGAGTTGACACGCAAGCGCAAGGCCGAAGAGGACCGGTGGTTCAAGTCGGGTACCTTTACACAGTTTGGAGGATCGCAGTCACAGAACAAGAGTAATGAGAATGGTGGGTTCAAGGTTCCTCCGTTGCCCTCGAGGAAGAAGGTCGATACGGGTGAGGGTAAGATGGGGCCTCCGCCACCGCCATCGAAGTAGTTCTTTTTCTGTCATTTTCTTCAGGCATTTCAAGGCGTTTTCGATTAGGTTTGGTTTCGGAATTTATTGCATGATACCAGAGTGTGTGATAGAAATTAATGGGATTTTCCGTCCGTAAGTGATCCATGGTTCAGCGTCGAAAGTATGTGATCATGGAGAAAATGTCGTGCTCAAAAACTCATTTTCAGGGGAATTGCACTACCAAAGTTCTTCGGATTCCCTATGGAAAGCCTAAGAATACTCCGATTTTACTGCTATAATTCATTGACAGTTGTACGGAGTACTTCGTAATCCTATCTCTTCTCTGTCTCAAGTGCGCATCGCAAACCCTAACCAACTATCGCCACCACCAACTAACACAATGAAATCAATCAGTCTCCAAAGTAGCGGTAAAAAAAAATCAATAAAAATAGTAGACGGACCCATAGATCTACTCCCTTCCTCGGGTATCGAGAGTCTCCAAATTACCGGGACTAGGTGAGATTTTCACGTTCTCCCGATGATAGAATATTGCGTGCTTTGGTGTTGAACATTGCGAAGGAAGGGAGTGTGCAGATGGTGTGCTTGGTGTTTCTGGGGTATATATGGGGTAGCATGGCTTGAAGATGGTTTTTCTTCATTATTATTTCGTTATCCTTTGCAGAGTTATTTTGTGTTGGTCTTCCTTGTCGGAGTTTGCTGTATAGTTAAAGCACTCGATATCCTAGAATCCGCTATAGTCGCGACGCTTGATCTTATCTTCCTGTCTCTCGTCAGTCAGTTAAAGCGAAATGGCCCCCGGAATTGGCAATGTCATTCTTCCAACCGTCAGCCTACAACCCACAAAACAACCTCTTCCGCAACGACGGCAAACCACCCTATACCACCACAGCCAAATGACAACCGACTCGGATGCTCTGCAGTTCAAAGCCGCAGCATCCCAGCAACTCAAGCTCCACGATGACACCAACGACACCCAATCACCAGAGGAAACCCTCCTGATAACCTCCCCCTACAACTCCCCAACCCACCTCCTCGACCTAACAACCCTCGACACCGCAAACCAACTCTTCGCCAAAGCCCTCACCATCTTCACCCCCATCCGCCCCGACTACGCCACAGCCCCATATCTCGAGTCCTTCAACTGGACCGCCGTATTCACATTCCTCCGCGAACTCGCCTCAGCAGAAGGATACCACTTCCCGCGAACAAGTTTCTACGTTGTCGCGTTCCGGTCGAGATTATTCCCCGATGCGGATGGAGACCGGTTAGGTCTGTTAGACGACCATTCGCATCGGGAGGCGACAGAGAGCGGGGGATTGTTGAAGTATTGGTTTGGGAGCAAAGATGGGGAGCATCGGAATTTAGCGACGTGTCTTTGGAGGAGTCGAGAGGATGCGCAGAATGGGGGGACGGGACCGTGGCATCAGAAGGCGAGAGCGGCGGGGAGGGAGATGTATGAGAGGATTGATTTTAAGACGATGGAGTTGGTTGTTGAGGATGGTGTGTCTGGGTGGGAGATGAGGGGTTGGAGTTGAGTCAGTCAGTTGTATATGAGTATGACAGCATAGCATAGCATTTGATACCCTAGCGTACAAATAGAATGTCTATTGTTAGTTACATGAAGTGAATAAAAGAGTATCTTTCTCCGCCCGTGGTGTATAGAGTTCCGTGGAATCTTACTCCATTTCATGTTGCTCCACCACGTCCACGACATCCAGACCCTCCATTTCGACGCTGAACAACACTGAATGACCGATTTCAAACCCGGGGTGTGGGGTCTACGGCAAATTAAATCACCGTGAATAGCAAATTGATATTGCTTGGATACAATTGGGCTGTGTTTGATATCCACGGTATGTCATATCGGATCGTTTCCGATCGTCCATGATATATAAACGGTCATAGGTCTTCGTTAGTATCTATTCGAAAACCTATCCATCCAAACCAACTATATAAGACAAAATGGTCGGAATCCAAGCCCAAAACCTAGCCGTCAACGACGGTCCCTTGACCTCTGAAAATGCCGCTCTCCTACGCCCCTCCTACCCCAACATGCCCATCGAAGAACTCCATCAACGCTACGAACAAGATGGCTACCTCTTCGTCAAGGGACTCCTCCCCCGCGAGGACGTCCTAGAAATGCGCCGCCGCTACTTCGACTTTCTCGCCCCAACCGGTGTCCTCCAAGAAAACACCGACCCCGTCGAGGGCATCTTCAACAAGACCAAATCCCCCGACGACTACCCGGGCATTGGCGCGGGAAATGTGGGCAACAACAGCCGTCCGGGAGGTGAAGGCGCAGCACAGTTTGTGGACAAGGCGATCGAGGCACATTACAAGGATTGGTATGCGGAGAAGTTCTGCAATCATCCGGATTTGTATGGGTTTGTAGCGCGGTTTATGGGGTGGGGGGATAATACGTTGTCGTTTAAGAGGACGTTGCTGAGGAATAATCCGCCGGGGTCGAAGCCGATTGGGGTGCATTATGATCAGATCTTCTTGAGGTATGGGGACCCGACTAGTGTTACTGCTTGGGTGCCTATTGGGGATATCAAGTTGAATGGAGGGGGATTGATTTACCTTGAGGATGGTACGTCAGCCTACATACCAAGAATGTGCTACAAAGCGCAGCAACTAACGACAGCAGGTGACTCGGTTGGCCTGAAACTCGAAGAAGAATTCACCACCAGAGCCAAGCAAGCAGGCCTGACAGAGGAAGAAGCCAGGTCGGCCTTCAACTCGAATATGATGGCCACCGGCTTACTCTCCGAGTTTCCGGCTGAGTATGCAAAGGAACAAGGCCGTCGATGGCTGGCGTCTTCCTACGAGGCTGGGGATGTTGTCCTGCACAAGCCGCATGCTGTATGTTCCTTGCCCTGGACTCGGTCAAACAAACAGGCACTGATTACGTAGATCCATGCATCGACGATCAACAATGACCCGGACAATGTGATTAGACTGGCGACGGACCTCCGGTTCTGTGATTCTTCCAAGCCGTATGACAAGGTAGGCTCTACTCCGTATACTACTTCGAACTGAGCACTGACTGACATGATTTTGCAGCGATGGATGAACCACTACCAGTTTGGGGATGGAGTGTAGACAAGCATAAGCAGCAATCAATTGACAATATCTAAGATACTTCCAGTAAACATCCTTATTACAATCAGTAGCAGATGCATTTTGTATAACATCAACATCGGTAACCCGGAAGGATAGAAATGCCGACTCTCCGCCGCCAGCCCCGCAGCTCAATTTGTTTCCCCTCTTCTGTTCTGTTCTTTTCTCCCCTTTCCCTCTCTCTTCTTCTTCCTCTCTCTCTCTTCTCTCTCCATCCCATCTTCTATATCCCCATATCTCTTTATCTTTTTTATCGTGAGTACTATATTCAATTCCTCAACTCATCAGTCAACAGTCATTAACATACTCTACAGCATTCTCTCACCTAATCTTCACAATGGCTGCTCCCGCTCAGAAGTTCAAGGTCGCCGACATCGTACGTACCACTGCCCCATCCACGGTGTCCTCATTCATTGACCATATCCTAGTCCCTGGCTGCCTTTGGCCGCCGCGAGATCGAGCTCGCTGAGATTGAGATGCCCGGTCTCATGGCTATCCGCCGCAAGTACGGTGCTGAGCAGCCTCTCAAGGGCGCCCGTGTTGCCGGTTGTCTTCACATGAGTATGCTTGTCCCGTCCCTTAGTGCTCTTGGGATTAGTACTGACTTCCACAGCTATCCAGACTGCTGTCCTCATTGAGACCCTCACTGCCCTCGGTGCTGAGGTTACCTGGACTAGCTGCAACATCTTCTCCACCCAAGACCACGCTGCCGCCGCTATTGCCGCCGCTGGTGTTCCCGTCTTCGCCTGGAAAGGTGAGACCGATGAGGAGTACAACTGGTGCTTGGAACAACAGCTCTCTGCCTTCAAGGATGGCCAGAAGCTCAACCTCATCCTTGACGATGGTGGTGACTTGACCGCCCTTGTCCACGACAAGTTCCCCGAGCAGCTCAACGGCTGCTACGGTCTCTCCGAGGAGACCACCACCGGTGTTCACAACCTCTACAGAATGCTCAAGGAAAACAAGCTCCAGGTCCCCGCCATCAACGTCAACGACTCCGTCACCAAGTCCAAGTTCGACAACCTCTACGGTTGCCGCGAGTCGCTTATTGACGGTATCAAGCGTGCCACCGACGTTATGATTGCCGGTAAGGTCGCCGTTGTTGCCGGTTACGGTGACGTCGGCAAGGGTTGCTCTGACGCCCTCCGCTCCATGGGTGCTCGTGTCCTCGTCACCGAGGTTGACCCCATCAACGCCCTCCAGGCTGCCGTCCAGGGCTACGAGGTCGCCACCATGGAGGAGGCTGCTCCTCAGGGTCAGATCTTCGTCACCACCACTGGTTGCCGTGACATCCTGACTGGTGCTCACTTCGAGGTCATGCGTAACGACGCCATTGTTTGCAACATTGGTCACTTCGACATTGAGATTGACGTTGCCTGGCTCAAGGCCAACGCCAAGTCCGTCCAGAACATCAAGCCCCAGGTTGACCGTTACACCATGGCCAACGGCCGTAACATCATCCTCCTGGCTGAGGGTCGTCTCGTCAACCTTGGCTGTGCTACTGGCCACTCTTCCTTCGTCATGTCCTGCTCTTTCTCCAACCAGGTCCTCGCTCAGATCGCTCTCTTCCGTGCTGAGGATGCCGCTTTCGGCCAGAAGTACGCCGAGTTCGGTGCTTCCGGCAAGAAGCCCGTTGGTGTCTACGTCCTCCCCAAGGTCCTTGACGAGCAGGTCGCCCGTCTCCACTTGGACCACGTCAACGCCAAGCTGTCCGAGCTTACCCCCGTCCAGGCCGACTACCTTGGTCTGAACGTCCAGGGTCCCTTCAAGGGCGACATCTACCGCTACTAAGCTCATTTTTTCGCTTTTTCCCTTTCACGTCCACGTTTGATACACCTATAGACATTTACATTTGTTTCAACATGATGACGATGTTACGATAACATACGGGTTCTTTATCAACTTAGAGCTCAAAAATTTTTGTCCTCAACGGCAAGACAAAAGTGGCATATATGGGGTTTTGTTTTAGGTTTTGTTTGGTTGTACGGGCGGCCTGGAGTATGTTTGCATTCAACAAAGCTTACAAGGTATTTCTTAATAAACAATGTATAATGATGCATGCTTTCAAGTACGTAGCTCATAAATGTTGTGTATCTAAGGCAGCTGCATCAGCTCGAGCAGCGATTCTGCTACTGCCGCAGCGAACCCTGGATCGTTAATGGCGCGGGAATGTCGTTGAATCTCAATCGACGTCCCAGCCAGCTCTTGCTCAAGCGTATCAAACAGCACCTTATCAGCTTCAGGATCATGGAACGCCTGCCCAGGCACATCCAACATACTAACACCCCCAGTAGGCAAAACAAATCGGACCCTCTCCGGCCTCTTGGCACCCCGCAACTTCTCTCCAATAAACCTTGCAATCCCACGGCATTCTTCCTTTGTCGTCCTCATCAACGTGATACTCGGGTTATGCTCATACAACTTCCTCCCCCCATCCCCAAATTGCGACGGAACACTTTCCTTCGTCCCGAAATTCACCATATCACACGCTCCCACACTAATAACCTGCGGGATCCCCTTTGCCGCAGCAGCAGACAACCGTCCCGGGCCAGCTGATAGAATACCGCCAACCAACTCATCTGCGACCTCAGTGGTTGTTAGATCGATGATAGCGTCGAGTTGGGACTCGGCGATAAGGCGCTCCATAGCCTTTCCGCCAGCACCAGTGGCATGGAAAACATAAATCTCGTATTTCCCCGGATGCTGTTCATCGAAGTATCCACGAACCCGATCAACGCAAGGAGTCGTCACCCCGGACATGGTAATACCAATCCGTTTCTTCCCTCCATTACCACCGCCTGTAGAATTCTGGAGATAAGAGGCAGCCATACCAGAAATAGCACCCGCCGCGTTTCCCAAAATCCTCTCGAGAACCCAATTCCTCCCCGCGATATCAACAACACTATACATCATCGTGATATCCGTCTCCTCGACATACGACTTCACATCACCAGATGCCATCGTTGAAACCATTAATTTCGGGAATCCCACGGGTAACGCATTCTGCATTATCCCCGTCGCCAGCGATGTCCCGCATGATCCGCCTATGCTGATTGCGGCGTGGATAGCGTGGGATTGGTAAAGGTTGGAGACGGTGGTTGTGGCGAGTGCGAGGATTTGTTTTATGTATTCTGGGCGGGAGAGGTTCGATACGTCGACATTGCTATCGGAGCAGGAAAGTAGGTCATTGTGGGTTATGGTGATGTCAGGGTGTGTGGTTGCGGAGCGGCCGAGGTCGAGGATGATAACTTTGGTTTCGGTGGTGTTGGGATTGGTGAGGATTTTGTCACGGACGAAACGGAGTTCATCGAGTTTGGTATCGCAGGTGCCTAGGAGGAGGATTGTAGTCATTGTGTTGTTTGTGAAGTGTTGGTGAATTGTACAGCGGAGGGATTATTTATAAGGGCTTCCTTCAGCTGCGGGGCTGAGTGAGCTCATTATTTTATCATCCTGCTTCAGACATTTACTTCTCACACTTCTCACACTTCTTACACTTCTTACACTTCTTACACTTCTTACACTTCTTACACTTCTTACATTTACCACACTTTACATAGTATACAAAATGCCCCGCCCAACAACCCGCAGAGAAGTCCTCGACAGACTTCGCAAGACTATTGCCGATGGCTCCATTGTCGTTGGAGCAGGAGCTGGTACCTTCCCTTCCCGGACAGATGCAGACGACCGTTGAAACTGATGATGTAGGGATTGGCCTTTCCGCCAAGTTCATCGAGAAAGGAGGCGCGGATCTCATTCTTATCTACAATTCTGGTCGATTCCGCATGGCCGGACGAGGCTCGTTGGCTGGCTTGATGCCGTACTCGGATGCTAACCAGGTCGTCGTTGAGATGGTACGCACCTACACCCCTACCCAAAGGATCGATCAGAAGCTAACAAACGAAGGCCAGCGAAGTCCTCCCCGTCGTCGACAACACCCCGGTCCTCGCCGGTGTCTGCGGCACCGACCCCTTCCGCACCATGCCCGAATTCCTCACGCAACTGAAAAACATCGGCTTCGTCGGCGTCCAGAACTTCCCCACCGTCGGCCTTATGGACGGCAACTTCCGCGCAAACCTCGAAGAAACCGGAATGGGCTACGACAAGGAAGTCGAGATGATCCGCATCGCCCATGAACTCGACCTCATCACTACACCCTACGTCTTCAACGTCGATGAGGGAGAGCGTATGGCCCGCGCCGGCGCTGACGTCATTGTTGTACACCTTGGCTTAACAACGAGCGGGACGATTGGCGCGCAGACGGCGGTCACGCTGGATGATAGTGTGCGGATTGTGCAGGAGGTTAGGGATGCGGTTGTCAAGGTCAATCCGGAGGTTATTGTGTTGTGTCATGGGGGGCCTGTTGCGGAGCCGGGTGATGCAGAGTATGTGCTTAAGAGGACCAAGGGGGTGCATGGGTTCTTTGGGGCGAGTAGTATGGAGAGATTGCCGGTGGAGAGGGCAATTTTGGAGAATGCGAAGGCATTCAAGAATTTGAAGGTTTAGCGTCAGAGTATACGGTTGTACATAGATCTGTCAGGCGGGTAATTGATGGTTTCCTAATTGGGAATTAACCGTGATATAACCGAAGAGGGGACGGCGGGTTTTACCCGGAGTACAATATATCTACTGCACTTTGTCTCTTCTATTCTCTTTCTCTCTCTTTCCTCTCAATTACATTTCAATTGCATTCGTACACCGAACAAAATGTCCCGCTCATTGGAAGGAAAGTCTGGCATTGTCACCGGCGGATCGCGGGGTAAGTATGCACCTACTAGTAAGTTACCATGATTATATCTGTTAACACGCGTAGGAATTGGCGAAGCAATTGCCCACAACCTCGCCTCCAAAGGATGCTCCCTCCTGTTGAACTACACCTCCGAGACCTTCCGCGAACGCACCGAATCCCTCTGCCAAAGCCTCTCCAGCACGCACTCCATTACCTGCCACGCCGTGCAAGCAGACCTTAACGACGCTCAAACCGCATCCAACACCATTCTCTCCGCAGCAAAGGAACTCTTCACCAAAGATGGCAAATTCCAAATCGACATCCTAATCAACAACGCCGGCGTCTCAAAAGATCGCTTCCTCAGCGACGAAACCAAAGGCCCCATCGACCCAGACTACTTCTACTGGCAATACAACATCAACGTCTTAGCACCCCTCCTCCTCACGCAGACAGTCGCCCCACACCTCCCCCAAAACCGCACCGGCCGCATCGTCAATATCTCCAGCGTCTCATCCTCCCTAGGCTTCACCGGCCAATCCGTCTACGGCGGCACAAAAGCCGCCCTCGAAGCAATGACACGCACCTGGGCCCGCGAACTCGCCGACCGCGCCACCGTCAACGCTATCAACCCCGGCCCTGTTGTCGGGGATATGTACTTTGCAACCGGGGAGGCGTTCTGGCGCCAGATGCAGGGGTATATGGATGCGACGCCGCTGAGTAAGGTGCTTGAGGGTGACGAGAAGATGGATGCTTTGACGGAGGAGCAGAAGACGGCGATTCAGGAGAAGATGGGTGGGAGGAGGCCGGCTTTTACGAGTGAGATTGCGGGGGTGGTGGGGATGTTGTGTACGGAGGATGGGGGGTGGTGTACGGGGAGTGTGGTTTGTGCTAATGGGGGGATGAGGATGGGTATTTGATATCCCTGTATTTAGACTGCGTTGCACATAGAACTAGAATGTCAATTGCTCGGTGTACTTCGTAGAGAAGTACTTCCAGTTCTTTGTTTAGTTAGTATGATATCACGTGGACAATGACATCACTTCCGCCATCACCTCGACCTCACCCAGCATCAACACTTGACACAACACCAACACCTACTCAATATAATAACCAATTGACCGCTCATAATCTACAAGATGTCTCTTCGAACAACCCGTCTCGCATCCCTGCTCACCCGTGCAGCCGCAAGAGCACCATCCATAACACTCCGCCCCTTACTGGGAGCTTCATCCACCCAAGTTCCCAGCCAAAGCTCAAGACAGATCCAACCATTCCCCTTACCAATTTCAAACCAAGTCCAAACTAGAGGCTACGCCCTCGGCGCTACAACCGGAAAGTCACAGGGTGATCTCCTCGTCGACGAGTTACAAGAATTGTACCCCTCCCCTATCCTCACCATCCCACCCTCCCCCCACCAAACACTCAAAAGCAACGAGCTAACACCAAACAAAGATACGAAATTGCAAAAGATGAATTCGAAATCGCAACCGACAGTACCGACAACGCCACCATCTACGCCGCCTCCGACCGCGACTCCTGCCGCGACGCCCTAAACCAGTTCATCGCGACCTACTCCCTCTACACATCCTCCGAGATCCGACCCACGGCCGAATCGCACCAGCCGCAGCAGGCGCAGCCAGATGATAGTGGGATGGATGCTGTGGGGACGGGGTATGATCCTGCGGATATTGAGCCGGCGGTTAGGGAGGAGGTGAAGAAGAGGGTTGGACAGAGGGTTAGGGAGTTGGAGAATGCGGTGCAGCTTTTGGAGGAGAGGGCGCAGGCTGATTGATTAGTCTTCTTTGGAGGTGTTTTTACATCTATTGCTGTACTGTAGAATAGGATATTAAGAGTATATTGCATCTATCTATATGGCAGTGATGCCAGTATAATACTCAAATATTCAATAGGTATCATAACCATGAATCAAATTGCAGATTTTGGAAACCGGAACGCCAAACCCTCATTAGCGTGCATCGTATACCAACTAAGCGATTATCCCGTACGAAAGTGCGAACTCTTCAGTCTCGGGTGATGTGGAAAAAGACGGCATTTCTTCTTTGTGCGTGGATTTGATGTGTCGTTTTAGTTGATCTATGCGTTGTCAGTATGATCCATGGTAGAAATACCGGAACGCGTGACATACCAGGTCGTGTAAAGCTCTTAGTACACCCAGGGAAGTGACATTTGTGTCGTCGTTCGCCGTGTGTGAGGCGGTGGCTTGACATGTTCGAAGACTTGCAGGGTCAGCTTATGCATTCGCAACAATAAGTAGGGCAATCTTTACATCGCCAGTCTGGAAATTGCATCCAGGATAGGTGCACCTGAATGGCTTTTCGCCCGTGTGTGTCCGCGAGTGGGTTTCTATCATGCCACCGTCAGTAATGTGCATCTGTAAAAATACTAAGGACGGGGACGTACTCAGTTCACTACTATCGGTAAACGTCTTCCCACAGTCTGCACATCTATACGGCTTCTCGCCCCGGTGGCTTCGTTCGTGTCGGTCCAAGGTGGCTTGCCGGGCGAATACCTTGCCGCAGACGGTGCATCTGAAGTTTTTATCTATGCCAGTTAGTACCAGGTTAAAGTAAGAAAGGGAAGTAACGAACAATTGCTATGTGTCAAAAAGTGTCCCTGAAGCTTCGACTTTTGCGAAAACGGCTCGTGCGGTCGGTGACATCCCTCCCAGCAACAATAGTACCCATTGCCCTTGGCTCCATCCACGGTGGACATATGGCTGGAGATGAGATGCTTCTGGAGAGCACCTGAATCTGCGAACGTAGCACCGCAAGAATGTTTAACTCCGTGAAGGGTGGTTGTCCATTTGCAGACGTTCATCTCCCGGTCCACAGGAGAGAACTCCGGGCTGGTGATCACGGATGAGGCGCCGCCATCTAGTGGCGGAGGGGTCTCGCCAGGACTGGAGATCAAATGGGAGTTGATGCTCGATCGGGGTTGTCGCGAGTAGGGAGAGTATGGGTGTGTGTGTGCGTGAGCGTGGGCGCGACAGCGATGGTGAGAACGGCAGGGTCCTTTGGCTGGGGCATGGTCGCCTGCGTTGACCGATTTTGGCTGGTGGCGGTGATGATGGTGACAGTTGTTATCATTGTTGGCGGCGGTGGTGTTGGTGTTGACATTATTATCATGAATCGTATGGTTGAGGTGATTATTGTCGGTGTGAAAGCATGAAAAGAAGGCCGATGTATCATTAAGGTGGTGATTGTGTTGACAGTGTTGCTCTTCTGGGATCGGACAACTCGACAGGCCCGGACACATGCCCAGCATGTGGAAAACATCCGCCGGGTTAACTCCATTCTGTACAGGATACGAAGGATGCACCGAGTGATGAAAATGACAGTTATCGAAGTGATTCGGGACGTGCGGGTGGCAATGAGCCGCTTGGGTCGACGAGTACGGGGGAAAGAAGGAGGAAGGATCGGTAGGATTAGGTTGTTGAGAAGAGGGGTCTAAGTTAGCCGAAGCGGAAGGGTCTGTGGTCTTAGACTGCTCAAGCTGACTATGCCCAAGAGTCGAGGAGAGGAGATCACTCGTCTCCAGATTCAAGGGGGCTCCCAGCCCTAATAACGATTCCAAGCCATGGTCGGCATCGTTATCGGCTCCATCGAAGCAATGGTCTTCAAAACACACGGGCTCGTCACTCTCGCAGTTATCATCGCAATGTGATACAGAACACGCATCAGACTGATCGCAATCGACGAAACCATCGCATACTGACGGACAAGTGATAGAACAGTTATCCGCACAGTCATCCACCTCGCAGCATGTCTCGTCCACGTCCACATCCGCCTCGCACCGGGACAAGGTATGATGTTCCTCTCCGGGGCAGACGGGCTCAGACGGCTCTTTCTCCTTGGGGTCCGATGTGTCGTTAGACTCTTTGCCGTCGAGGCGGAATCCCTCCCAATGGCACTCGAGGCAGTAGTCGTCCTTGTTCTGAGCCATTGCGCGATTCGTTTCTTGCAATATCTTCCGGTACTAGTCCAAAGGAAAGAAGGACACACACGAGCAAAGCTCTTGTGCTTCTGGGGATTAAGATCAACGGAGATCTTGCAGACGGAGAGTCCTCGGTGAATAGACCGTAAAAATCTAACAGGGTTAATCACCAGCCATAAACTGATATCAACCTGAACACACCTGTAGCCAGAGGACCTCCAGTATCAACAACAGCCAGTATGAAGCAGAGGATTCAAAAAAGCGAAAGTGAGTGTGGACAGTGCTTTCAGTCAGATAGCCGATACATTGGAAAAGACAGCAACAAGCAAGACTCAAAACGTGACCACCGCCACTCAACTTCTCGTAATGAGGACCTTGGGAGCTTGGTAGTAGAGGTGGGGAGAAATGCAAGCAACAGGAACACTCTCCATCGTCGACATCACTACCGAATCACGACTGTTAGAATTGCTGCTCTTTCCATTTCGGGCGAGGGGGGGAAATTGACCCTGGGCGGAGAGCAGCGGCAATTTGGATGAGGACCTTGCGGACGGCGGAGAGTGGAGGACCTTGGGGATGACCCAGGCGGCCAACCAGAGGACGGATGATTGGGAGATGATGTAACATCGGGCTATGCGTTCGACTAGCCTAATTTAGTTGTTAACTTGATTTAGTGCGAGTCAATTGCCGTTAATTCCAGTCACGTGTACAACGCCTCGTTCGTGACTGCATAGAGCATTGCGCATGCAGCAGAGTACTGTTGCATACCTCGGAATCTGGATACCTTCGATACCTTCGAGAACACATCACCCGCTAGTCTGCTCACTCAGAATCCCATACTCTGCCAAGGCACCCTGTAATCAGCATCCCGGTGGCTGCCTAACATTACTGCGACTGCGACTGCGACTGCGACGACCACACCTTCACTCTTCCACTACTACCATCCCCTCTCCTGCGCATCCTCAATAATATACAGATCACCATGGGAAACATCTGCTCCCGCTCCGCAAACAAACCCGACGACCCCTTCACCCACCCCGGCCGCTCCGTCGGCTCCTCCGCGCCCTCCCAACACCAACACCACAATCGCGCCCCCTCCGCCCGCGTTCCCAACAAGCAACAGCCATTCAAAGCTCCAGGGCGGACACTAGGCGGCGGCGAAGAAGAACCGGGGACGGGGACGGATGCGCGGACTAGAGCGGCGTTGGCGGCGCAGGTATGTTCCTCTTTATTTGTACGGGTTGATGGGATACAGGCTAACGAGTGCAGGCACGAGCGGACGCAGTGCAATCATCGAATAAGGGCAAGCTTGGGACGAAATTGGCGGCGCAGAAGTCGATGACTCAGGCGCAGGCGTTGAATGAGGCGAGTCAGTCTGAGCGGGCTGCTAGAGATGCGGATGGGGCGGCTGAGGCGAGGAGGTGGCAATGAGTTGTTGAACTGGTATACTCGAGTGTATACATGTTGATGCCGATACGAGAGCGTGTTTGATGTTATTTCATGTAGGTTCTGATTGTTGGTTCTGGTTATTGACGGGTTCGCGCATATGCATTCTTTCTAGCGCTAGCGGAGCTATGGAGTTATGGTAAGGTGCATTTGGTTGCAATAGAAATCACTTGAATGTTCAATATAATACACTTGGTATACTGCATAAACAACCAGACGAAGAAGATTAAACAACGTTATACCGTCCTCCCACCGGCGCCCTCGATTCACTATCCGCAGCTGCCATCGTGCCCTCCTTGAGCAACCGCATCAACTCGCGCATCGCATTCGTGACAGACAACTCGGTTTCACCCTCAACCAAAATATACAGCTTGGGGTTCTCGCCCGGCGCAGGCCCCTTGCCTGTCCCATAGAAGCTTCCCTTGGTTGTAATCGATGTACCAGTAGCTTCGAGGATCTTGGCCACGTTCGTCCGGTTGGTGACGGCCCATCGTGCTTTTTCTGTTGAACAAGTGTATTAGCAATTGATTCGTAACAATAACAATAATAATGTAAATGAAAGAAAGGGGAAGAGGCTTACGAGGAAAGTCGTTGATCTCCAGAGTTGCGTGGAACGCTCCCGCATCAGGTCCACGGTTATCAATAGGCACGCCGGATCTCATCACACCAGCCTTACTCAAACGTGCGTGAATATCAGCAACCGCAGTGCCAACCTTGTCCAACGGGTTCTTCGACGCGCTGGCCGGGTCCCTCTCAGTCCGATGAACAGTGATCTTGCCGTCCAGATCGATACCCTTGGGAACGCCTGGTAGTGCCGCGGACGACTGTACTTGCGAGACGACCTTGTTGAATTTCTCTTCGGCCTTCTCGTTCTTCTCTTCCTTTTCGTCCTCCTCTTCGCCTTCATCGCCGGTCTTGTATGTCTTGCGTTCACGCATTCGTGCCGCATCTCGTTCCTGATCCAGTCGCTCCAGACCTTTACCACCAAAGCCTGAGGCACTGGTGCTCTTCTTCTCCTTTCCGGCTCGAACCTTCTCCAGGAATGAGTCGACCAGCTTTTGAACGTCTTCTGGCACATCTTGTTCGCTCTGCTTCAATGCCTTGGCGATATCAACAGAGTATCGATCCTGATCTTCTGTCAGGAAGGTTACTGCTGTACCGGTGTTACCAGCACGACCGGTTCGACCAGCTCGGTGAACGTAATCTTCCAAGTGATTAGGTGCATCGTAGTTCACAACAAGCTTAAGCTGCTTCACATCCAGACCACGGGCCGCAACAGAGGTGGCGACCAATACGGGGAAAATGCCCGCCTTGAAGTCTTGAATCGTCGAGTCACGGTCCACTTGATCTTTGCCTCCGTGAATGGACATGCAAGGATAGCCCTTGCGCATTAGT